GGGTTTAGGGTTTAGGGAGCCTGCTGGCTTCTCAACGTGGTCCATCACCTCCTCTTCGCGCTGCGCTACTCCCAACAGTTCCACCTCCTTCTGAAGGAACCTGTGTAGAACCAGCTGCACAAAGCCACGACAACCCAACTGGGAGCGCGGAACATCGAAAACTCCCACAGAAAAGCCCCTGGAAACTGAGACTCGTCGAACCAAGCTCTCTGCCGAAGCCCACGATCATCATGGCGATTGTAGTCAGACTAACGGCGCCGAAGCACTCAAAGTATTGATCAGAAGCTGCTACGGACAACAGCACATGACCATCATCACAAGCGAATTTGAGAGCAACACAGAAAAAGACAACCACAATCGCAGCGACGATGACTACGACTAGCGGAAAGGAAAAGTCCGACGAAGCCACACAGAGGCGTCGGGCCTAAACCCCCACTTCAAAACTCGAACCCCAAACTCCTGAAACACTAACTCGGAGATTCCTAGCCCCCAACACCAGACATTCTACACCCACCGAGCTCTCAAAACTGAACAAATCCGAAGCCCTACATCTATGCGACCGGGTTCGGGTTTAGAGTATACTTCGGGCCCGTGGCCCTGGGGTGCCTGCGTCGACTTCGGTGCGATGGCCGACGACGGCCGGGGGCAGCGAAGCTGCGGGGTCCTCCCGTTTGGGTCTTGGGGATTTCGGGGATTTCGGGGATTTCGGCTTGGAAATTCTGGGTTAGGGTAGGAATCATCGTATTCGCGAAACAAGTCTCAATCAGCATCCTCGTCACTATATGATCAGCAGATATCAGCAGTATCAGCAATGACGCGAGGAATGACGGCCTTCGGCCGCGATCATGCCGGTGATGACAGCACTCGAGGAAATAAACTTCAGAGCACAAGGATTTTAAGTCTGGAGCTTTCAGGATTTCGGACCTCAGGTTGGTGGTTGGGGATAAGAGGCACCAAGATTACGGGCCTTTTCTTCTCTTAGGTCTTAGGAAGATGTAGTGGCTTTCCTTCTGCTGTGGACCCCGTTGAAAAGCACTCCCTCGACTGTACCATGGCTCCTCGAACTCTGCATAGCGCTTGCTCAGTCCCACGAACCTCGACAGATATAGCCAAGACGAAGGCGAATAAATCATGACGAGGATAATTGCAAGTTGGAAGAGCTGATGAGAGGGGGCAACTGTCGGGCATTTTGGGAGAGCCATGTTATGCAATATTCAGACTTCACGTCATGAAGGGTGTCTTGCGATGAAGAGGCACGTGTTGTCACTTCGATCATTGTACTATCAGTCTGTTCAACACATTCCGGGCTTTGTGTGTAAGGTGCCTAGTGCTGCATGCACACACGTGTACACACACTTACACACACACACACACAGAGCCGCTTGCGTGAAGGGAGCGTATTGGTGTGCAGCCCCAGCTGTCTACATTTAGGCTTTAGGGTTTTAGGGTCTAGATTTTAGAACTTTACAGCGTTTCTCCTAGTTTGGGTATGTGCCTGGCAAATGTGTATAGTCAGACGTACACACATACACACCCCCGTAAACCCTAAACTGTAGTGTATCCGTGCCTATCAGTGCCCATGAAGGTCAGCACATTGCGTCTGTGCCCTAGACTGCCGGGCCGCTTCAGGCAGCGCTCGATGGGGTTCTTGGAGAGTCGGGCATCACCTGGGATCCGAAAGCCCACAGGGTTTGGGCTGAGGGTACGGGTTGAACACGTCCCAAGAAAGGCACGAAACTTAGTGAACTCCTAATATTGATAGGGAGGACTGTCAGCATGTCGAAGTATCGTCCTCTGCACGGCTTTATCTGACATCCGGTTCCTAGGAAGGTTGAAACCGGTGGCTAGGAAGGTTGAAATGCTGCAAATCCAGTTTCGACTGACGATATTTTGTTCGGTATCCCCAAACCAAGCAACACGAGCCGCAGCCGCCGCAGCAACAACAGCACGAATGGCTAGTGTTATAAGCTATAACAGTCATGCATCCAAAGTTAACATCATGACAAGTCAAACAAACAAGCAGCGCCGGCCACCGATGCAAACACGACAACAACGACCATCACAGTCACAAAACAACACCTACTGTATGGCCCATGGCAGCTAACACGACCATGGCCACAGGCAGCCTGCAAATCACCCGAGAAGCAACATCAAGAAAGTACCAGCAGTAACCAAAGCAACCACACACGGGACAGGGCCAAGAAACCTTAAGCCCCAAACCATAAAGCCCTAAATCCCTAAATCTGATAACGCTAAATCCCTAAACTCTACCTATAGTCTCCATTGTAGTTCCTGCTTGGGGATACCTTATGAAATCCTAAATATATATGTGTGGTTAAACCAAAAAAAGGAACTACAATGGAGACTATGGGTACCTAAACCCTAAATCCCTAAACCATAAAGCCCTAAACCCCTAAACCATAAAGCCCTAAACCCTAAACCCCTAAACCATAAAGCCCTAAACAACCCTAAATCCGACACGCTTACTGAGGCCTTGGCTGTTCGGCTTCAGCCCACGGACTTCTCCCGCGCGCTCCTTTCGCAACGTCTCCAGGGCCTTCGAAACTCTCTAAGGGGTTATTTTAGGTAACGGGATTAAGGGTCCCTGTTAGGGGTCCCTCAAAAAGTCCTTAGAAACTTGCATCCGGAGAAGGGGGAAATCCTAAACAACAACTCTAAACCCTAAGCCAAAAAGCCTAAATGCTAAACCAAAAGCCCTGAACCGCCAAAAAGCCTAAATGCTAAACCAAAAGCCCTGAACCCCGAACCCTAAACTCTGTAGGGCAGGTTTCGGATTTGAGGATTGCGGGTTCAGGGCTTGAGCTTCCGGGGCTCTTTAGGGATGAACAGTTCGAGCTTGCGGTTACTACTGTCAATCTGAAAGCATGCCCATGGCCACGTATTATCTAGTAAAGTGGCCTCTTCGGTCTTTGCCTTTGCGACTGTCGTCGACGACGCTGGTTTTGACACGAAGCTTCCGTTTAGGGATATTTAGTGCTGAGGGCTTAGTTTAGGTTGCAGGGGTTCATGTGAGCGCGGCATGGGCCAGGTTCCATGTCGCAATATTAATGTCTCGGATGGGTTGTAAGAAACATGCTTGCACATGGGCAAACAATCTTCGGTTCACAGGGAAGTCTGCCAACAGGATGATAAATGCTCGCCCAAACCGACTACCAGCAAGTCGGACTGAACAACCGCGTCGCTATCGATCTGCCTCCCTTTCCCTCGCGGAGACTCTGCCATACTGAAGCCCCAAACCTCACGTGCAGGTTAAACCTAAAACACCCAAAACCCGCAAGCCAGGCCTTCTTGAAAGTTTTGAAAACAGAATGGGAGAGGATGGCCACCAACATCCCAAGAATCAACCACGAGGGCAGCGCGAAGTTCAGAAAACTCCCGACCTGCAGCAGCCAAGGACTTGAGTTCCGGGTCGGGGGGCCGCTCAGCCGGAAAACGTGCAACTTCAGCAACTCCTGGTACTGCCAACCTGTGGGTTTTCTGCCAAGAAGCCATGGCTCCCACCAGCAAGTTCGGGCCCATGATCAACCTGAGTGGTTCGTTGAGAGCTTCTTGATTATTCCAGAATAGCACCGATTTCAGTTTTGGGACATTTAAAGATGTTCAAGAAGATTGGGGTTCTTTGACCATCGCATTGGAACTCCATGAACAGAAGCACAGCGCTAGGCCACAAGTTAACTCCCAAGAACTTGCCGGGGAGAATATGGCAAAACCCATACCTGCAGCACACAGTGTTGTTAAAGATTGACCCTTTTGAGCCGAACCGGCTGCCACCCTTCAGTGCCTTGCTGTATAAACTTCAGGAGTCCAGCATAAGTGCCCCTTGAATGACAAGCGTGCGTTCAGAATGCGAGGTGTACCAGTGTGAGCGCACTTGGAATGGCGTTGCCAGTCATGCTACTGATGCCAAGAATGACAGCGTTCAATGCAGGCTGCTGCCCAAGTGGCACGAGGTCGTAGTCGATCATGGGCTTGAGCCCGGACGGATGCCGCTGGCGGACATTGTAGATCAAAGCGCTGGCGGCACCTCCCAAGGCAGAACAGGCTGGGCTGCAGGGCCAACACAGTAGGTCTGGATTCACATTTGCAAAGGAGAACACGTCCATAAAGTAATCGTCTTCTACATTGCACATCCAACTTTAAACCCTAAACCCTAAACCCCAAACCCTAAACCCTAAACCCTAAACCCTACACCAAGATCATTGCGTACCTCCTGCCAAGCAAGGCTGCGAGATCGCGGTGGCTTCATGGACCTGAAAGCCTCGTCTCAGAGCATCGAGGACCTACTGACTTCAGCCAAGTCGGTGGCCAGCTTACACACACAATTGAGGGTTTAGGGTTTAGGGTTTAAAGGGTTCAAGGTTTAGGGTTTAGGGTTGAGGGCTTAGGGGCCAGCATGCTAACACAATTCAATATAGGGGCCTTAATAATTAGAATAGGGTTTTGGGGCCCATTAGACTATAACTACCATAAGGAACCCCACAAAAAACAAAAGTATAGGTAATTATTGAAATTGAGGCCACTATATTTTGTAGGGCTAAGGGTTCAGCTCTGCGAGATGTCGGAGCTAGGCAGGCTGAAGCTTCCAACGCAGGAAGAACAAGACTGTTGCACTCCACCTGACGGGGGAGGGTGCTTCGGAACCTAAGGTCAATATTTGCCAGGCTGGAGAGCAACATAGAAGGAAGCTTGAAGAATAACACCTCAAGCGTTGTGGTCAGCAGAGGAAACAGCGATCAGAATCTTCATCGACATCCGAGGAGTAGCAGTTTGTGTGCGTCATCCTCGTCGTCTCGGCGCGACAGGATGAAGGTCCGTTCGACTGTGATGCTGACTCTTCTGCGGTGAGTTGTGCTCAGTGTTGTTGCTTTTTGTCCCATTCCCTGATCCTTCTGCCAATCTTCTGTTCCGTGCCATGGCCAAGGCACGAAACGAAGACAACGCCTCCGCTGTTAGAAAAGACACCAGAGCATGCGCAAAGTAACCCCTTATGCTAATCAGAAAGCGCGTTCTGATTGCTCTCCCCCTTATCCCTGCCAACCTTGAATCGCGAAGTTCCAGTCGTGTTCTCCCGTGCACTACTTCAGCTGTGAGGCCGAGGATGATCATGAGCAGCGGCACATACAGGCCGCCCCCGCCAATCCCGGCGCTTAGAGCTAGGCCTCAGGGAAACAAGGGTTTGATTTGTGCCATAAGGATTGGTGCATTTTCATTTAGGATTGAAGGGTTCTGAAGCCTTTCGCGATTTCAGGCGGCTGCGCCTCAAGTCATTCCCTGAAACAAACCATAACGACCACCCTGAGACCAAAGCCGGCTCGGATGTCTTTCTTAAGTGGGCCTGGGCATGCACACAAGTTGGCACCCTGCACCATCTCCCGCGAAACCTTTAAAACCCCAAACCCCTAAACCCTAAACCCTAAACCCTAAACCCTAAACCCTAAACCCTAAACCCCAAACCCCAAGCCCCACACCCTGTCACCCCTGAATCCGAAGCCCTTCAGGCTTGATTGGAGTAGGGTCTGCATTGATAATGAAATCCCTTTTGTAGTCTCTTCATAATGACATTTACATACATACCCTGTTCCAGTTCTTAATGCCTCTAAAGCCTAAACCGTTTGTTAGCCCCTATGGGAACACTGATAGCATCCCTTCGGAAGATTTTGTTGCTGAAGCCTGCAATTTTCAAAAAAAAAGTATCCCTGATAGAAAACCTTCTGGCAAACACCAAACCGCTACATAACCCCCTATAGTTTTAGTATCACTTGTCAGTAAGCCCGATCGTCCACTGTACATCCCAAACCCTAAACCCTAAACCCTAAACCTAAACCCTAAACCCTAAATCCCCAGAGAGTTGCAGCCGAAGGGGCCGCTGATGAGGAAGAAAAGGAAAGCCGCGCCAAGATCCGATCCGACCGGATGGCCTTCGTAGGGTTTAGGGCTTAGAGCTTTGGGGCTTTTAAGTTTAAGGGTTTAGGATTTTAGGGCTTAATGGTTTAGGATTTTAGGGCTGAAGCTTAAGGGTTTAGGATTTTAGGGCTTAAGTTTAAGGATTTAGGATTTTAGGGCTATACAGGTTTAGGGTGTAGGGCTGTAGCAAAAGTTTTAGGGTATCCGTGTGAATAATGGAGCCCCTTGCCTTTTACGACCTGACTATTTGGATCCCAATCATAATCCTGCTGCGGGAGTGGACTTGTCAGTCAATGGTCTACATTAAAGCTCTTGGTGCTTGCAGGGTTTGGGAGATGGGATGCCAGGACTTGAAGGCATCGAGGTTGATAGTAATGTAGGGGCCTTAATAATTAGAATAGGGTCTTGGGGGTTCCTTCTTACTATCACAGTATTACATACCCCCCAAACCCTATTCTAATTGTTTAGGCCCCTATAATAGGGGCCTGAGGTGCTTTTTGGGGTTCTGGGTGCTGGGGCCTGTAAATGGTCTGGAAGCTCAGGTTGGCCGGGCTCATATCGGCATGTAATGTAGGGGCCTTTATCATTAGAACAGGATTTTTGGGCCCCTGATACATAGTAAAATTATACTAAGGAACCATGAGGAACAATATTGGTAATTATTGAGGCTTCTACATCAATGGGCAAATCCGCTGTACTGCAACGGTTGCCAGGCACGTGCATCTGCACTGGGTTCAGGCTTGACATAGTTGACTCTAGGGGCCTGAATGATTGGAACAGTGTTTCGGGCTCCTTTATATGCTTTTAATAAGGAACCCTAAGGATTCAGATAGGTAGCTATTTAGGCTTGCTCCTTTGTAGCATTATGCTTTTGATCAGGAACCCTAGGGACTCATATAGGTAGCTATTTGGGCTTCTATGGTAGAGTGTCGAACCCTGGCGCAGCAGAGAGCAATGAACCAAGGGGCCGAAGAGTGGCTTGTGCACGCACTGAAAAGTGTCGCTGCTGCCTGAGTCTCGAAAGCTACCCGGGGGGCTTTCAGGTCGTAGAAGCCGGGGGAAAGAGGTGACTCTTGGTGGGTTTAGGGTTCAGGGGCTTTTGGGTTTCAATTTGGGTTTGGGTTAAAGGTTGGTCCAAACTCGTCAACATGGTTAAGGGTGGAGTGAGCAATGATCTTAAGCCGCAGGTTTTGCGGATGGGGGGGAAAGCTTGGCTTTGGCTTTGGAGTCTCGATTCGATGAGTTTGTCTACCTATAGTCTCCATTGTAGTTCCTTTTTTTGGTTTAACCAAATATATACTAAGGATTTTATAAGGTATCCCCCGAAAGGAACTACAATGGAGACTACAGGTAAAAAGAAACCTGAAACTCCGGGCATTAGCTTCTCTTCTTGTTTCCGGCTTAGGGCTTGGGGTTCAGGCCTGCGGCGTCAGAACACAACTGGCATGCCTGCCTTCTCTCACGGCCTTCGGCCCTGCAACTCATCAGCACGTGCCATTCAGCCACAGCACGATGAGACGAAAGGCAAACAAGAAGTGGTGATGACGATGACAAGCCCGATGATGATAACGATGATATTGACGGTGATGTTGATGATGAGACGATGATGATCATGGTGATGGTGATGACGATGATGATGAAGACGACAACTATTGGTGGTCGGTTAAAGACACAGGTCCCATTCAGTTCGGCGGCAAAGTCTCAGCGGAAACTGTTCACACTGTACATCCGCTGAACAGGCATCCTGGCGCAAACTGCAGGGCTTCGGGCGGAGGGAGCTGAGATCATGGCTGCAGTATTTACGTTGTGGCGTTAAAGATTCCAAGTTCCGAGGTGGAAGCGTCGAAAACCCTTCAACTTCAACCTAAACCCTGAACTTCCTACTTCCTAAACCCTATAAAGCTTAGGAATGCTGACAGCCTTCCTAGGGGCCCTACTCCACAAGCCCGAAATCTGCCATCAAGAGCTCACAGGAAATAGAACTTGGATTGTAAGACCCTCAGCAGTAAGAGTTCGAAGATGACCCAATACAACAGCCCAAGTACTCAAGGACAGGTTTTGGAGAGGAGTGGATCTTCTGCACCAGCTAGACGGGGCATCTAACACCGCTTCTTAGTGAAGCCAAAACCCCACAGCCACCAAACCACCAAACCCTAAAATCCCCAACGCCGACAGGCCCTAAACCATAAACTTAACCACATGCCACAACCCTAAACCCTAGGACCTTCAAAGCCTAAACCCCCAAACCGTCCTGGCATCTCTCATGCCCGGAGATGCAAACAGCGCTCGGCCCGCATCGCCTGTGCCCGCACCAAGCGCAACTTCGGAGTGATAAGGATTTCGGGTGTAGGGTCTAGGGTGTGGTAGTAGTAGTAGTAGTAGTAGTCGTCGTAGTAGTAGTAGTAGTACTACTACTACTACTACTACTACTACTACTGCTACTACACCCTATCAAAACACCAAACATCTGCACTGGACGCCGGAATGCTCGAAGGCTCCGGAGAAGTTCAGCCACGCTTGATGCCGCCACTCCTGCGACGCTTGCGTGGTGGCCAAGAGGGCGAGACAGAGCTACTGAGCCTGCACACATCTCCACATTCGAGGAATGGTTGCATTGCCTCTAGGCATATCAAAAGAGATACGATTTACGACTGTCCCCGGGACATCCGGAGAAATAGCATGAACATTTTGTATGCAGTAATATGGTTATGGTCACTCTGGTGAGGAGGAGCTGCTGCTGTTGATGATGGTCATGGCGACGATGGTGACGATGATGGCAACCCAGACGGCCATCAAACTGATGCGGACGGAGAGGAAGCAACTGGCAGCAAGCTGTTGATACTTTCAATGCTGCCGAACGTGGGATCTTGGTGATGACAACAATACCGATGATGGTAACAAAGCTCAAATGATGTGAATATGATGATGAATAAAGGACCGTTCTGGCACCGTTGTGGTCACCACCATGCTCTTCTTCTCCATCATCGTCATCATCGTCATCATCATCATCAGCAGACAACAGCAACAGCGACGCCATCATATGTTTGACAACTACGACAATCGTCATTGTCACGAGCGTCATCATCCCCATCGTCATGACAATCATGAAGATCATGCGCTTCAACGTGCTGCCCGCACCTCTTCAGAATAGCAGCCCCCGTCGTGGTGCGTTTGGAATGTCGCGCAGGCCACGCGCCCACCCGAGGAATCATGAACAACCATAACCTGAAAATCACGTCAGGGAGCGATGCAACAGTCTGACTCACTCTTAGATCATGTGTATATATTTATATATATATACATATATATATATATATATATGAGCTGTTGTGGCAGAGACATCGCTGCCTCAACTCAACTCAGAGCCTCTGTATTGGAGCCAGGAGCAAAGCGGCAAGTTTCGACCTGCTGAAGCAAAAACCTTTAAGCCGGGCTGCCTTGTCACGGAGGCTGCCCAAGGAGAAGCCAGTTGTAATTGGCCTTGCTTGCAATGTACTGCAACTTCGTGGATGGTCGATGTATTGGAGTGAGACGCTGCTACAGTCAAAACTATCGCCGTAGTCGTGATTATCAGATTCTCCCCTGAACGACGATCACTGTCGTGCCATCTCTGGTTTGGAAAAGACAGGCGAGATGGCAACAAATATAAAGGCATGAGAGGTCAGCACCGTGGTCGTAAATGCGACTATCGTCCTTCTCCTTATGGTTCTGAGTACGATGAAGATCCCGTCAAGCCTCGCATGGTGACTGATTTTTGCTGTCATGTTGTCGCGCCGCCAAAGCATCAACAATGAAGAGCCACCCTGACCACACAGCCACCGCTGCCAACAGCAGCACCAGCACCAGAAAAATCAGCGCCAACACCACCGCAGCCACCACCCCCGTCTCCCCCGCCCCGCCGCCACCACCAGCAGCCAACAACCACAAAATCGACACCAACAACGCCACCACTGCCACCATCACCACCACTCCCGCCGTCGCCAGCACCAGCAGCACCACCACCACTAACAACAAGTCCAGCATCAGCAGCGGCAGCAACATAATCAACAGGGTTGAGAACAGTTCATACTGCAACAACGAACAAGAAAACACATGACTCCTTTGCATTAGAGTGTTGGCTGCTTGCAGTTTCCTTCGGGAAACATTACGGAAACGTGGTGTTTGAGACCTGAAGTGCGTACTTCAAGCATCCGTATGCAAGACATTCTGCTGACAGTAGCACTTCGTCAGAAGTAGAACTCATGTGCATGGGTGTCGTTGTACATGGACAGTCCCATCACATGTCAGTGGCTGCATCTCCTCACGACATGTCTCCCATTCTTGCATATGTGGTCAACACCAGCGTGATGATCATCGCAGTCATCACCAGCATCACTCCTCTCAATTCCTTATTCCCGTCACACCCACAATCATAACACTCAGCAACTCATCAACCAGCACGTTTCTGCTTCTATTTTAGTCAAGACTCTCTGTGCCAGCAGCCGTGCCATCCACCGAGGCATTGTAAACGGGACCAAGAGCCCAGGGATCGGCCGTCAACGAGGACGAATTCCAGAAGTGTCCTGTGCAGCTGGGTGAAAGCGGAAGATTCGTACGAGCCCGAAGGATACCGGTGTTCAGAGCTTTGGGTTTAGGGGTTTAGGGTTTGACATAGCAAGCATGCTTGTATTCCCAGGACTCCGGGTGAAGCTTGCAAGGCTCAATTCTGTCAGTGCCGACTCAAATCGAAGTTTCGTTGATTCTCATCCGATGAACACACTCTCGGCAAGCTTTAACGCAAGCAGCCTGTTGAAAACAAATGTGCTGCATCAAATCCGGGTGAGAAAGTGCGGACGCAGGCCTGGAAACGTCAGGGCTATTGAACTAGCCCCAAGCACTGGACAACCACAGTAACGAGACGCTGCAAACTCTGCTCATATAAGCCTGAAGAACGAACTCCTGTTTTTAGCCCCAATTTCCACACCGGAACCCTGCTCTCAAACTCAAAGTGGTGGAAAAAAAACTGTCCAGGGCCTCCTGCGCTGGAGCAGGAGGTGCCTTCATGCACCTGGGATGAGATCAAGGGACTCTAGGGTTTACAGCTTGCAGGATTTATTAGCAGTAGGGTGTGTAGGACTTAGGGTTTGGATTTACAAACTAGAATTATAGGACTTAGAGCTCGGATGTTTGGAAACAGAGCTGCGAAATTATGGTGAAAGGTGTAGAAATTCGGAGTTTGGGGTCTAGGAATGGGGGTTATTGGGGTTTAGGAAGTGGGGCGTAGGACTTAGAGACACTGTGGTTTTGGCTTAGGGCCTACAGGGCATAGGGTTTAGGCCTTGTGCTTTTGGTTATAGGGATCAACCTACGGCACTGACTGAGGGGCGCGTGTTTTTGGGAGGTCGTGGGGGGGGGGGGGGGGGGGGNNGGGGGGTGTCGCGACTCGGGTAAGAAGATCCTGGATGCTTGTGCCTCGCAGTGTTGAAAACTGGCATACTGCCACTGGCAGTACAGTCAGTACGATGTGTCTCCGAAACATCATGTTCCCTCCTGGCAGAAGCCCTCAAACTCCAAACCTGGAAACTCTATACCACCCTGATTCGGAGGATTCGTCCAGGCTGCATGCACTCCGCAAGCATTCGGGACCTGCGAAAGGTTACCTTGGACGCTTCGAGTTCACAGGCGTAGTGGCAAAGTGTCATCAACTGCTGGCAGTTGTTGAGGCAGCAAGTTTTCCTTGGTGATTTTGGGGTTGCCCTCCCGTACGCCAACCCAGACGCTGAATCATGACATCGCCCATGACCAAGAGATGTGAAACAGGGGGTGGTCGAGTGCTTTCCTCTCTGACTGCCTGAACTGGTGCAGGATTTGCGCCCTAAACAGGCCAAGAAGCGTGAGCCGCATTCAGCATCCAAGCCGCCTAAGGCGTATGAAACAACCTTGGCTTGAACGCTGCAGAGATTGCGGACATGTTAGGTTGCACGACTGTCCTGTGTCGATGTCGTTACATGTGTACTGCCATGCATCCAATATAGGTGCCTGAACAGCTAGGAGTACCAGTCCTCAGCGTTCTTTAGTCTTCGCATACCATAATATACCCCACAACCCTATTCTGAGTACCAAGGCCCCTGTACTGAGCCGAATTAAACCCTTATAGTACCCTCGCCTCGGCTTCCAAAAAGCCTTAGAAGGGGTATACAAGAAACCCTAAAACGCAACACCATTCTAATCATTAAGGCCCCCTACTTGGAGGTTCATGGGTAGTTGTAAGTATGATAAGTGGGGGCATGAGTTCCCTAGTGTGGATGATAAGTATAGTTACCCTGCTTATAACCCCACTTATATCTACCCGTGAACCTCCAAGTAGGGCCCTGCATGTTATAGCCTTGCAAAGAACGCTTATAGATCCCGTAAAGGAACCCTTCTAGATCCCTTAAAGGAAGCCTTATAGATCCCTTCAAGGCGCCCTTCAAGATCCCTTACAGGAACCCTTATGCCCCCTCGAGTCGATCCTGGGGTCTGGACTTGAATGCCAGAGCTGACGGCGGAGATGTTCACAGAGCCCTCCACAGAGAGGCTGCCGCCATAGCCTGCTTGGAGGTTGATCGGTAGTTATAAGTGGGGTTACAAGTGGCGTAACGACGAACAAAACGAGCTCCATCCCCAACATACGCACATCTTGTGCCAGCCAGCGTCTATATAAACCAAAAGCTAGACAGCAATGATCCTGGGCTCTACATGCTATTCGGCCTCAGGCTGGCAAAGCAACGGATGACAAAACAGATTCAGACTGCGTCTCAAAAATCATGCTTTGCGCCACCCGACGCTCAGGAATACATCCAGCTCTGAACGCCAGAATCTAACTCTAATGCGGATGCCTCAAGACTTGGAGTGGGTTCTGGAGTACGCTATACTCTAGTCACGACTAGGAGCCTTCCGGAATAAGCGTGGTGAGCATACCCTCAGGCCCCAGATTGCATCCCTCCCAAAGCCCCCAGAGCCGAACCCCAAAGAGAACATCCTACGGCTAAGAAAGTCTACCTTAAGCCCTAATAACCTACCTTTTTAGGGACTTATATAAGGAAATCATAGTAAGGAACCCTAAAAAGGTAGGTTCTTTGGGGTGCAGGTAGGGCTTAGGGAAGCCCCCGGTTGCCTGGGTAGGCCTGAAAGATCCCAGCATGAAGCAAGGGCTCTGCCGTCGTCTGTATGAGGCTTGCCTGGTCTGCAGCTTTGGGATTTATGCAAGGTCCCCTAAACGCCTAAACCCTAAGCCCTAAACCAAAAAGACTCTTTTTGGCTTAGTTTTGAACCGTTGCACGTTTCTAGGGCTTCGGGGTAAGGGCTGGAGATCAGGGTTTGAAGGTATTAGAGTTGGGTAACTTAGTGATTGAAATTCAGTTCAGCATTTAGAGCATAGCGGATTCAGTACTTAATTGACATTGTGCACGAGGCTATCGGGATACATCTACCTATGCCATGAAGCCCCGTACTTGGGATCTTGCCTACAGGACCCAAACATCCGATTCATGAGCATCGTCGTTGTCTTCCCGAACCCTCAGACGACTCTCGGCATCGATTTGGGCCCTTATGCTGGCACGCGATATTTTCGTAGGATTTTTGATCAGAATAGGGCTTGGGGGTACATTATAGTATTATTGCAAGGAACCCTTATTGGTAATCATGTAGGCTCCTTGCTTGAAATGACCGTCGGCCCTAACACCTCAGAATCTAAGCCAACAGCCCCAAACCCAAGCACTGCAGCACGCTGTTGCAACGCAGTGGCCGTTGCCACCGTCCAGGGCAGACGGCTAGAACGAGCCATGGCTGGCTGGAATTGGGATGTAGCGGATCCTGATGAAAATGATAATAAATTAGCAACGGCAAGTACCACTTTCCGCTAACATTCATACCAACATCAGTATGTACATATACATATGCATACATATATATATATATATATGTACACATACGCATATACTGATACTAACACTGTCAATATTCTGACTCAAACAATCGGAGCCCAATCTTATATATTAGAATAGGGTTTGGGACATGTTATAGCGTGATTATAATAATAAGGAGCCCTTGGGAATACTGTTGGTGACTGTTTAGGCTTCTATACTGGACGTTCAGTGACTGCCCCGTTTACTTTCAAGACATGCACGCATGACTGGTTACTGTAGGGTCAGGGTATCGGATTTAGTGTTTCGGGTTAAGGGCTTAGGGGTCTCAAGGTGTAGGGTTTGGGCTTTGCGGGCTACTACGTAGTTACAAGGGCTATTCCTTCAGTCTGCCAGCGACTGGATACCTTTCCAGCACGTTTTCTCAGCAAAAAACAGTTACTTACTTCCTAAATTCTTCTCTCTTGGCTCTGCCTTGAACCACATCACGCAGATCATAATGACATAGCTGTGGCGGTGCAAAAAAAACAACAACCATGCTGCCGCTTCGCTGTGTCAGAACTTGCAGCCACATTCCGACCCCGGGCCCGAGCCCCCGAAGATGAACCCGAAGGCTGCAGATCTTTTCATCCGGAGCTCACGGTTGGACCCAGCTGCGTTGCCACGGCCTTAGCACAATGGATAGTAGTCAAGCTCAAGGCAAGGATGAAGGACAGAAGCATGGCTGGGCACGCTGGAGTACCTAACAAAGGGCCTACTTGGAGGTTCAGGGGTAGTTATAAGTGGAGTTATAAGTACGGCAACTATAGTTATAACTTATAACCCATATTCGGGGACTTATAACCCCACTTATAACTACCCATGAACCTCCAAGTACGCCTACTTCAGTGCTATCTTTGGATGCTTCTACAACGGAGCGTGTGGGGTTTAGGGGCGGCCTCCAGGCCCAGCTGCCACAAACGAGGTCTTGCATCGATTGAAGGAGCAGCAAGGCCCTTGGTCCATTCATACTGTTGATGGACAAATCCTGAATGACCCAAATATAGTATAGTACCATAAATCCCATAGTTTAGGTATATAAGGTCATGCAGGATTTTGTCCATCAGCCGTATAACCCTAAACCCCTAAACCATAAGTGAATAAAAACCCCGGCGTAGAACAAGCCCACAGATCGGATGCTTTGGAGCAAGTCCGCCTAGCAACCGGTTCTACATACAACTTTTGGGTTTAGGAGATTTATGGTATCAGGTGCGAACAACCAATCCTAACAAAACGCCGTGATGCCTCTATCATCTCGAGCAGTGACAGTGACCGGTCCAAATTCCTGCACCCTCAACCCCAGATCTCCAAAGTATAACCTTTCTACCTCGAATCCCGAAGCCGCAACCCAAAGACCTAAACCCATGAGGCTTGGGGCAAGTACTTTACACAAATAGGCAGGCTATTGTGAACGGAACTGTCTGAAACGGCGTAGACCTTCGATTCAGAGTCCTAAAGTCCTAAAGCTCACTGCCTTTCGACACTCGTACCCGAACTGGGCTCTGATTACCAAAACCTACACCCTGAAGCCTGTTTGCACTTACCACTGAACCCCTAAAGCCACAACCATGAAGTCCAGCTCAATTTGGGGGTTTCCGAAAATAGGGGACCCTAATATAGTACCCTAAATAGTAGGATCC